ACGTCAGAACCAGCTACAGAATGGAAGCTCTGTATTGTAGGCATTTGTATGACTGGTCTCTCAGACATCCCAATTGGTGCTAGAAGTGTTTCAGAGGTAAGCAGATAAATGTTTTTCATAAACTGTACCCTTTCTGTACTTAAATACACACTCGCACAGATAAATATATAACACTCTTGAACAAGATGAAAACTAAGTTTTGTTAATTAGCCAAATAAGTGAAAGGTCCTAGAATGTCAATAACTGCAGTTAAAAGAAATTTTAAAAAATCAACCCAATGCTGCTGATGAAGAGGAAGTAGAGACTTCTTAAACACTGATACTGGGAAAGTATATTTGGCACTATCTTCCAAAGGCTTGACATAATAGTTTTACTTCTAGAAGTTTATCCTGAAGAAATAAAGGAAAATATGGGCAACATATATATGCAAGGCTGTTTGCTGCATGATCACTGATAACAACCCTAAATCAAAAACAACCTAACTAGACAATATTACTAGTAACGATAACAACAATGAAAGGTGGTCTTCCAGCATATTGGAATAAACTGACATGGACAATTTCTCTATCAACACAGAAGAATTTCAAGTAACTAAATGCAAAGTCTATAGCCAAACATGATAGAGTAGAAAGGGAGAGGGAAAGGAGGGAGAGAGAAAAAGAAGGAGAAGGAAGACAGACAAGAGTGCACCTGAAAGCCAGAGCAGCCAAGCATAGTTAATAAGCTAACACTATTGCAGCCTAAAGAATGCTTTGAGTAGAGACTCAAACATCTGCAGGCTGAGATTCAAAATGCCACATGGGAATAGATATGTCCCCATCTCTGTTAGGACTCCCACATTCCCTTGCACAAGACAGGGAGTTAGAACTGAAACACTGACATAAACCTGAGATCTTCAGAGTGTTACACAATCCAATAAACTGTTCTTCAAAGCCTCTACCCACCTGCTCAGAAAAATAACCAAAAAACTTAAAATAGCTTAGGGCTTTGGAAAGGAAAAAAGCCCTATTAAAGTTAAATCTCACATCTATGCCATGTGAAGCTGTGATACCCAAATTGATGCTGCAAATGTGATTGGGATGTTCTAGACCAGGAAATTAATCCAGAATGAGATCTAGAAAAAACAAGGGGGAGAAAACACAGTATAGGGACACCTGCCCAATTTAAGATAGAAAACTCCTACAAACAAACATAGATAAAGGTGACCTTTAAAAAATGAATATGCAAAAACAAAAACAAAAATTCCAACTTAAGAGAAGTTGGTTTCAAGAGAACTACAGTAGACACAAATCTAAATAAGACTATCAAACATCTCTGAAATAAATAATGAAATAAAAGGTTTGAAAGCACCATGGAAAGACTGATCATCATCAAACTGATTTTGAAATGACAAAAAAGAAGGTTGGGAAATTGAGAAGTAAGTAAACTGAAGGTTACCAGGGAATCCTTGTACACCATTGGTGGGAATGTAACCATAGACATGGCAAACAGTATGGCAATTTCTCAGAAAACCTAAGCAGAACTGCCGTATGATCCTGCAATCCTACTACTGTGTGTATCTCCAAAAGAATCGAAATTAGTACATCAAAGAGACATCTGCACTGCCATGGTCACTGCAGCACTGTTTGTAATAGCTGAGACAGGGAATCAACGTATGTGTCCTTCAGCAGATGGATGAATAAAGTGAATGTGGTACATCTACTTTGAAAGGAAGGATGTCCGGGCATGTGAGAAATCAATGATGATTCTAGAGGGCATTATGTTACATGAAATCAGCAAGACACAGAAAGAAACACTTCATGAGCTCACTTACCTCTGGAAAATAAAGAAGGTGCATCTCATTTAAACAGAGAGTAAAATGGTGGTTACAGAGGTGGGGGAATTGAGGAGATGCAAAATTTCACTTAGACAAGGGAATAAATTTCACAGCTCTGTTGTACATCAGAGTAACAGCAACTAATGAAATATTGTGCATCTGAAAATTGCTAAGAAAGCCAGGGACCAGTGACTTACTCCTGTAATTCTAGCTACTCAGGAGGCAGAAATCAGGAGGACTGTGGTTCAAAGTTAGCCCCGGGCAAATAGTTCCACGAGACCCCATCTCAAAAAAACCCATCACAAGAAAAGGGATGGTGGAGTGGCTCAAGGTGTAGGTCCTGAGTTCAAGCCCTAGTACCACAAAAAAAAAAAAGAGGACGAAAGAAAAGAAAAAAATTGCCAAGACAGATTTTAAAATGTTCTCACAACAAAAAATTAAAACATATATTAAGCAGTTTGATTTAGCTATTCTACTATACACACACACACATACACACACACGTTTATATCATCATTTATACAATTTTAAGTTGTCAAGATAAGTAACATTTTTAATAAAAATTGAAGTATTTAGGGGCAAAGACTATTGATATTTGCAATTTCCTTTGAAATGACTGATAAATAGAAGATGGATTAAGGGATTTATGAATAGAGGACTGGATAAAAACACATATGTGAAAAAGAAAAGAAAACAAAAAATCAATTGTAGAATCAAGGTAGTCAACATACACAATGCTATGCAAGTCTTTCAAATTTTCTATGTTGGAAATGCTATATGATAAATTATTGGGGGGCTTATTGTTGCTATCAGCATCATAGCATAACAACAGCAATGGCTAGCACATCACTCATAAGTTTTGCGAAGCACTTTTAAATGTTATTTTACATATATTAACTAATTTAATCCTTCTACGTATAAAATGATGCAGGTCTTGTTATTATTCTCGTATTGCAGAAGATGAAGCTAAGACATAGAGTAGCTAACTCACAGCCATATTAATAAATGGTAGATGCTGAGATTTGAGGCTACATAACCCAGTCCTGAGTTCCTATTTTCTTAAACACATGCTACAAGGAAAAGAAGTTAGTGAACTCAAAAGTAGATTTAAGCAGTTACCTGAACTGCTGCATGAAAAGATAAAGCACTGGAAAGCATGACATAGAGTTTAAGAGATGGAGCAAGGAAAATGAGAAGTATCAACAGACAGCTAATAAAATTCCACATAAAGAAAAAAGAGCAAATGGAGGGAAAGCATTATTCAAGTCAGAAGTGGAAGAGATTTTTCTGAAGTTGAAGAAGATGTATAAATGAAGATCCAAGAAGTTAACTGAATCCTTAGCATGCTGTCTGAAAAACAGGGGAGAAAACCTTCAACTAGGGATAGTAAAATGCCAGAACTAGAAAAAGAAATCTTAAAAGCAGCCAAAACTAAAAGTCAGATGCTTTTATAGAAAAAACAATTTGATTTAAGACTTCACAGCAATAATAAAAGTCACAAGGAAATGGAAGAATATTTTTAAAATTCTAAAAGAAAATTAACTCTTAACTTAGAATTCTATACCGAGCTAAACTAGGGACCAGAAAATTTCCTATTTTAACTCATACTGCACAACTGCTAAATGATCTACTATAGAAAGAACTGAAGTCAGAAATAAGAAGTGGTATGAAAAATAACAAAAAAGCCCAATAATAAATATGTTGAAAAAGTTAATATTTTAAATAATGTATATACACCAACATAGATAGCTATATAGATAACTATGCTCATAAGTAAATAGCTACAAATTAATATGTACTTATGTATTGAGAGATGTCTATACATTCACATAGAAATAGATAGGAGATAGAGGGAAAGCTCTTAATGTTTGTATGCCAAAATGCCAATAGTTTTTCTGGGAAGTGAATTATGAGTATTTTTTCAAAATTATTTTGCATTTATTTTCTTTCTCTAACTGTATTTTCTTTACCATCTTTAATAATAAGCATATAATGAAGAAATCATGAGGTTGAAAATAATAAATTTATATAAATACCCCCAAAATATCACTGACTGTTTTAAGCAATAAAATATTTGATAATCAAAAAAGTAACAAGTTTTGAATGAGGTTGATATGCTCACTGTACATGAATGAATATAGACATTTTAATCTGGCCAGGGCCACCATGGAAAGTGGACTAGGGAGGAGTGAGGACTGGAAGAGATGAATTAATTAGAGCTGTAATACACATATGCATGGCAACAACACAAGGAAACTCCCTATGTAGCTATCTTTACCTCAAACCAGCAGAAATGTCATGTTTCTCTTTTTATCGTTTATGTTTTCTCCTTCTACAAAATTGGAGAACAGGCAGGCAGAAAAGCTTCTGCAGGGGCGTAAGGGGAGGGTTGGCACCAGTGGGAGGGGAGACTAGGGAGGGGGGAAGCGGCAGGAGGGGTAGGAGGATGAATATTGTGCAAATCTTATTTGCATTTACATGTATGTAAATTTACATGTATGTAAATGCAAATAAGATACCTGTTGAAACTGTTCCAGGAATCAGGGGAGGGGGGGATGGGTGAGAGCAGTGGAGGGGGGAATTCAAGTATGATATATTTGATACATTGTAAAAACCTTTGTAAATGCTACAATGTATACCCACCTGGCACAACAATAAGAAAAAGTAAGTTGGAATGGAGAACTAAGTAAAGAGAAAAAATAGTAAAATAAACAGAAATAAAACTGGCAAAAAGACTTAGATTTGAGTAGTGATTGATAATATCTAAAAGAACATATTATTTTAACTATTTAAAAATATCCTTACTTAAATATATAGTGAAAATAGCTACTACAAAAGCACAAATATCAACAAATTAACTGGCCAGCAGTTATTTTTTACTAGAAAAACATAACAGGATTGTAACTTAATTATCTGAGGTATTTATGTCAATGAAAAAAAGTAATTACTTAGCTCAGCCTCCAAATGACAGTGACTACAATTGAAGGTAGACCTTCAAAGAAACCAGCCCCTTCTGTGAACTGAATCCTGTAACTTTAAGCCTGCTAAATAGAAACCAATAGTCCATATTCCTAAGGATGGAAAATCCAGAGGAATCTACTTTCGTTAAAAGTAAGTGGTAAACAATGAATGGTGCTTACCTCTTCAGGTCTGCCCAGGTGTTAAAAGCATAAAGCAAAATTACCTGCTTTTTATGAAAATCCTTTAGGGCAGTTTCATAGCCTTCCTCCAGTCTACTGAAGGCTATTCCTACATCTGTGGTCCACCATATTTGTGAACTGGTTAGTGCAACTTGAGCTGGGAAATCAAAAATCCACATTTCCCTAGGCTTTTCCTCATAAGCCACTATGGCCTCTGTGATAGACTGACGCACCGTCTCTTGCATGGTCTGTTCAAGTTGTAGAAGCCAACTTTCCACCTTTGGAAACAAATTGAAATGTGAAAACATAGGTTTAATTACAGAAGAAGGATCCATCATCTTCCCACTGGCTCAAAGACAATGTAACAAGGCCTCAGGTGGATTTATTTTTAACCCCTCTGGAAAATTGCAAGAGGGATACTTCAGGAGGAAATTGAGCTACTGATGGATAAAGTCTTTTTCCTACATGTTATCACCTAGCTAGCTGAAAACTTTTCAAAGCCTATCTGAGGACATGGTCTATTACTTATTTTTCAGCTTTGAAAACAAAGGGGGTCTAGACCAAGATTCCCCTCTGGTAACAATGTTTCATGAAATCAAACTGCACAGTCTCCTGTAGAGGTATGAGTTATATTGTAGAGGTTTTGGGTAATGGAAAATTAATTAAAAAAAATAAATTTTCTGATAATTTTTAAATCTCCTGAAAATTCTTCTCTAAAATCATCATAGTTCATGGTCTTAATCCAAAATTTTTTCAGCATGTATCATAATTATATTCCCTACTGGTTAAAACTTCACACTTGTCAGAAATCAGACAGCAAGAGAGTACAAGAGACAGGACAACTGCTGACTTGTGAAAATTAATCTTTTAAAAAGTTTTTTTTAATTTTAAATTGATTTTGCTCCCACAAATATCTTAGCCAGTTTTCTGGCTATTTGAATGTGTTTTGAAATATTAATCCATGCATCTGTTTCTATTTGATGATTATCATGTAACTAAAAGGGTACTATTTGCAAAAAAAAAAAAAAAAAAAAAAAAAAGAGCCCAGCAATAAAAAATTACTAGAATAAATTGCAAGAGTCACATTAGATACTAAAGCTGCTACAACTTTCTGTCCTTGCCCTGTAAGGGTGAAAGCAGCATTCCTAAAGCCTCTGAGAGCTGGGAAGGAGTGACATGTTGTTAATGAGCTGGGCACCTTCTCCTTGAAAGAAAAAGGAAGTGCTGCCCTGGCTGTGGTCTTGCATCTCCTGTGAGGAGATGACTTCCTAAGCTGGGCTTCGTTAACAGGCACAAGTTCAGGATCCCTGATCTAATCAATGTGGTCCTGTTTCTCTGCTTTTAAGTACAACTCTTAAGGTTGCCAGGCAACGTATATTCTCAGTAAGGCCATCATTATTTGAGCATCTCCTGTGTTCAGAGGATGCATACCCTCAATAGAGCCACATGTTCTCAATAACTTCCTCATGCATTTGAGAAGACCAAACACATGTGTAGGTTGACACATCAGCTCATGTTCAGATGACAGTGTTAACCATGGCAACTTAACTCAGTGTGACTTGAGAACTAAGCTCTGACGAGGCACTCTCTGGATCCTTCCCTTTTTGGTACTTCCTAATAATCTGATAAAAATTATCACCTCCTATTATTACTAATCATGTGTATATCCATTTCCTTTGTGAGCCAAAGAGTGCCTCAAAGACCAGGGCCATATCTTATTTATTTCTGGATCCCTAAAAGCCTAAGCTAGCATCAAGTGCATAGTAAGTATTCACTAAGCACTTGCCAAATAAAATATAAACAGACTAAATTGGGATGACAAATTACAAAAGTGTGGAAAAAGTTTGAGAAGACAAAACAAAAGCACCTTTTAATAAAAACAAAGGCAACTAAAGAGCAAATACAGTATATGCTAAAAAGTCTCTAGCACAAGTTGCTTATGTAGAATAAATTAGAGCCCTATAAAAACTTTCAGCATCAAGGGTTGCTGCTAGTGACAACCATATCTATCAGTTGGACTCTTCCCCTCTGGGCACCATGCCAGTAGATGAACAGCCTGCCAGGGAGGGAGCAGACAGCAACACACTTTTGTCAAGATAGTTTATGGTGACTTTTTTCTAATCATTGTAATAATATCCTAAAAACCCCAAGAGATCAAATAATATATTTTAATCAAAGTATTCTACCATCTGCTTCCCCTTCATTTGGCAAGGGCTTTCTGGTACAATATTAAAAAGCAATGGAGAGGAGAAAAGAAAACCCTTGTAAAATAAACTTGCAATCACATTTCTGAAAAAAAATATATAATCACCAATCCCCTCCAAAAAAATACTTTAGAAAGCCTCTTCCTCAACCCAAAAGGCTCTCTCGATAGATGCTATCTCCTTGGTAAATCTGTGGATTCACCCAGGCTACCCAATCATCATCAGAAGAAAAGATGTTCCACCAAATCATAGGAATACAACAAAAGCTCTGCCATACTGTTTTTGTGACTATCCGGTAAAAATATTTTTGATATTTCGCAGTGAGAGGGAAGACTGAATATTCTAAGTTAACTCTGGACCTGTAGCAGTTCGAATATGTGACACCAGCTTGTTAGACTCAATCAACTTTATGAGCAGTCATTCACAGCATTCAAATGGACTACTGAGCCACAAAGCCCCTTGCCTCACCCTACCCCTCCCAAACTTCCCCAAGCAGTGTGAAAACAGTGTATGCTTTGTAGATGGCACAGGTATGGGATTGCATTTGCTACTAATTCTGGGTGTATTCATTCAATTTGTGACAGTCCCTTCAGTCTAGTTCAACTCCTGGTATCCAAAACTCCCTACTGATGCTGAAGCAAAATGAAAAGAAATGGGGCAACATGGAAGAGTCACCCCTTGCCACACTGGTTACAGTAAACAGAAACCTCCCAGCACAAAGCCCAACAAGAGCCTGAGTTGACCTGAGTTGTTTTTTTCTTGTTCAATTCAACCCTTAGAAATTACCCTGACACACAAAGCCTCATAATCAAATCTTACATGGCCTATGCAGTCACACTCTGCTTGGAATGGGACATACTCCTTTTCTTTGCTGTACATTCCGACTGCTATGTGTGCAGAAGCATCCTGGTAATCCACAAACTGCAGATCTGCCATGCTGTCAAAGAGTTTGGCAAGGTGACGCGTTACCTAAAACAAGAATATGAGAAAAAATAAGAGTGTTTCTTCTCTAGATGGTCTCTGGGAGTCTAGAGATGAGGTCATATGAAGTCACAAAACTCCTTATAGAGTTCCAGAGCTGTCTCAATGGTTTTTCCTCAAAATAGATTCCAGCACTAAAATGCTGGAATGTGTTCTCTGAGATTTCAGCCTGTGACAGGACCTTGATGAAGTTGCCAGGTGCTCTGGTCCCATCACTGCCTGTTGGCTGGCAAATGTCACCCTGCAAAGTGACCTGTTTTCTGCCTAGAGATTGGAGATTAGTGACTTTTCCATCCTGTTGTGGTACATAAGCATCCTGCCGGGACTTCCATAGTCAAATTTTCAAAGTTCATGCTTATATTATTAGTCTACGCTATTACAAAGCTGGTAAAATATCTGAAATAAACACATTAATTAAGTATAATCTTACTCTGTTTTTAGGTCCAATTTTATCATTCGTTTGCCTGATACCTTAGTGAATCCCACTGTATGTTTGATATCTAAGAAAGGTGAATAACATTACATATTTTCACTGAATAAGGAAATTGAAGTGAAAATAATTAGGCAAATTCTCCAAGTCAACACTGCATAAGTGACAATCAGATTTGGAACCTGCAATTGCAGGCCACATCCACAAAGGTCAAATTCCTCTGGTGTTATAACTTCTTGCATCCTATGTTTTACCCTCTCCAAAGGAACCCAATGAATAGCACACTGACCTTGATGAAGACTGTAGACAATTTGAAAAGTAAAACAAAGAGCAAATTTAAAGACAAAAGTAGCAGCACCTGTTTTACTAGAGGCCAGTTTGAAGAATAAAATCCAACTGGCCCCCAGACACAGCTCCTGAACTAACAGGAGAGAGCACAACAGGCCTCCACCCAGGAGTGCTACCCCGTGTTTGCCATGGAGGAAGGCAAAGGGAGAGGGGTTTTCTGCAGGTAGACTCACAGCCAACAAGGGAAGGAGAACACTCTTTACATCAGGAAACTCACTCTATCCTCTCTCTTAGGGTAGATGGAGTAAAAGCCAGAGAAGAATCATGAGTGAGGGAAAGAGGACTGACTTCTTTGAAGGAGTATTAGCAATTTTAAGTGACTTTTCCCATGTAATTCTAATTTACAAGATTACCTGTAATTTATGGAGTTTTCTGATCATTCTTAGGGTATTTTTTTCACACAAAGTGATACAAATAAATTTTGATATGTTAGTCATAGTCTATGTAATAAACATTTGTATATGTAAACTTCAAATTTTAAACTAGTTTGGAATAATTTCTATGGATTGGAATTGCCACAGCAAAGTACATGCAAAATCTACATTTGAGTAAGTTCCTCCTAAATGGAGTACGTTTTTCCAACATTTGAATCAGAGTTCTCATTTTCAAAAACTGCACATACATTACATAATACTATATTCATCATTGATAATATAACATTTCTGTTAATATTAAGCTAGATCATCCTTATATTGCATATTATTCATTTGTGTTATTTTATTCTTTTTTTAACTTCCCTTATAATAGTCTTGGTCATCTGTGATTATGTAAACATTTTATCATTCATTTTACAAATGAACTATGTGTAAACATTTTACCATGCACTACAAATGAAATGTGTTTTCTTTTTACTGTGGTGCTTTATTTTTTGGTTGTATATAGATTATGTATTGAAATGCAGTCATGTTCTATTTTATCAAAAAATATTCTTCCCTTACACATGGTATAAATATAAGGTGCTCAGTGGAAAATAGTTTCATGGCTCCTCAGCAAATTAAACATAGAATTATTAGGGAACCAGAATTTCACTCCTGGGTAGATGCTCCCAAAGAATTAAAAATAGATACTTGTACTTTCCTGTTCTTTGTAGCAATATTCACAGTATCTGAAAGGTAGAAAGAACCCACATGTACATTGATGGATGAACAAATTTCTCTCTCTATATATATGTGTGTGTATGTGTGAGTGTGTGTGTGTGTGCATATACAAACAATGGAATATTGTTCAGTCATGAAAAGCAAAGTCCATCATTGGATGAATAAATTGTGGTACACACACACACACATATACACCCACACCGGAATATTGTTCAGCCATAAAAAGGAATGAAGTATGTATGTGTTAGACAACATGGATAAACCTTGAAAACATCAAGCTAAATGAAAGCAGTCAGTCATAAAAAGACCATATGATTCCACTTACATGAAACACCAAGATGTGGACAGCACATTGGTGTTTTGTAGGAAAGGGGAGAGGGAGATAATGCAGAGCAACTACTTGGTGGGCACAGGTTTTTATCTGGAGGTGATAAAAATGTTTTAGCACGTGATAAGAGGTAGTGGTTGTACAACACTGGGACTGTGCAAAATGGCACTGAACTGTACACACTTAACAGTTGATTTTATGCCATATGAATTTTACCTCAGTAGAAAAGAAAAGCTGCTGGTAACCAGAAGATGGTTGGAAGGTATGTATATAACATTTCCCAGAATACAGGCTCTGTCTGTGTAATGAGTTTTTCTTGAAATGTAGTTTTCCTGGGCTTTGTAAGCATATAATAGCAGCTTTTAGAAATAAGAGCAATCTGCCTAAATGATCTGCATTTGGTGAGACCAACATCAGTATCAGTAAGGGACTCCTTAAGGGTGATTTAATCTTTGAAGCTCTTAGCCTTTACGTTTTTGCTGTATTTGCAGTTTAGCATTAAAGAAAATCACATCAAAAAGACTTCCAAGTGTAAAATAGATGAGTAGTTGAGACTCTTGCTTACTTTTCATGTAGAGAGAGTGGAAGCTGACTGATCACTACGCAGGTCATCATATTGTCCTCCATCCCTATACTTTACCCAAAGGACACTCACACACAGAAAGTCTGCAATGATGTAACAATTCATTCTCCCAGCTGAAGTGGCCAGGATGCACACAGGTGTTGAATGGCTTCCACTGGGTAATGGGGCTGGATGATATTCAGTTGAAAAGCTACAGACAAATGAGGCCTCGACCATCAGACACCCTCATACATTATTGCTTTGGTGAGAAAGTAATTTCTAAACAACTTCTGGCCCTGTAGCCTCTCAGTCATTGGGCAGGCAATGCAAACCTCGTGCTTTGCATCTCTCCCATTACTTACACCTGGTATGTTTGAAGTTGGACATTTGCACATTCTGTTATTTAAAGTTTCTGAGAGGATAGCATTTTTTAATGACTAATGTGGATCCTATTGACCTCAGTTTTTCTTCCATTTCTAGTGGGATATCTTTGTATTTCAAACAAAATTTAAATTCCATCTTCCTAGGTAGTTACTTGGAAAGATGTCTTATTTTACAACTAAAAAGAATGCATTTAAAATGAACACTTTGTAGACTATTCTTAAAGGAGACAAAACTCCATCATATTTTAAGGTTTCTAAAAGATTAACAAGCAAAACTGAAATAACTTTCCCTCAAGATGCATAAACTAGGTGCATTCACACAGTAATGCGTACAGGCAGTCTTGGCTTTGCACAGGAGTATGGAATCACAAATGACTACACAAGCTGAACTTACACCAACCATCTTAATAATCAATGAGGACACTTTAGACAACACAACAACCTTTCAAGCTTTTTTGGTGGAACGTTAAAAATCTGACTATTGGTTATAAATGTGTAAGGAAATTAAAAAGAATAAACAACTAGGCCACCTTTTAGTACACTGCCATTTAAAATATTAAACACATTAAAATAAATATTCTTTGTGGAAGACTTTTTAGGAGTAATTTGAACAGTGCTCCTTTTACAATTTATGATAAGGAATAAGCATCTTTTCTGCGCCTTGGAAAACTGTTACACTCCTTTTTTTTTTTTTTTAATTCGTTGAGCTTTCAATGTTAAAATTTCTTTTAAGCTTCCCCCCCCCACCCCACTCTTTGGCATCACTTACTCTGGGACAGCTTCATCCTTTTTGTTACTCCCATAGTTCTCATTTATGTCAAGAAGTTCATTCTCACTAGCCTCCTGCCTGGCTGTGTATCTAGACTCTCAAATGGTGCAGGGTCATCCTTCTCAGCCAGGTATCTCTTCTGTAATTCCATCTATGTTTGATTTAGATTTTACTTCCAGCATTATCAGTGGGTGATACACTTTCTGCCTTTTGCTGAACCTACACATTCTAACTCCCTCTTTCCATCATTTAGAGTTGCACAGTGTCATGTGGTATCATCATAGGGACAGGGAGGTCACACAACTACAATCTTGGCTGCCTGTGTGTGAACAAAATAACTGATGCACAGTGGTTTATCACTCACACACTTTGAAAGAAGTGACATACCTGGTCGCTGATCATCCTGTGTACCTAACTTATGCAGTGAATTTTGTGAAATGAAGAGCTAGCAAGGAACTTTGTGCTTTATATAATCACTTGCTGGTAATGTACCTCATGATTCTGAAATGTGTCATGTCGTCAGGGTGCTGGTGTTATTTAACCAATCCCTAGTAGCTGAAATTCATACTTAATTGGAACCGTGTAAAGGGAGAACCTCTTACTAGATAAAAGAACTTACATTTATCTATCTGTGAAAAGTCAGGAATATTCACTCATCTTTGTATTTTATAATATGAAGTACAAACCAACAGAGTGATTAACTGATCTATCCTTTGACCTAGGGCTGCTGTTCACCTACCTAGAACACAAAGGGAAGGAAGAGAAAACACTATTTTCTAATTACATTCTCAGACCTTACCATTTGCTTTTGCCTGCATTATCTGATTTTATGTTTGCCCAATATACCTAAAAATGATTCTGCTCATTAATAAGATAAAACATACACAAAGGCTGGTCCCACCCCTGGCCTGCTGTGCACCTCAGGATTCACTGACATGTGTTTATTATCTCACTTAATTCATAATGGTAGTGATAGCTACAGAAGTAATGTTTGTGAGAATGTAAATAATGACCAGAACTTAGGCAGTCCTATCTTTAGTAGATATTGTCCTCTAGGAAAAGATATGAATC